CATTTTAAAGTCTAGTTTCTTGAGTTCTCTATATATTTTGGAGATCAGACCTTTGTCTGTTGTGGGGTTGGTGAAAATCTTCTCCCAGTCAGTAGGTTGCCTTTGTGTCTTAGTGACCATGTCCTTTGCTTTACAGAAGCTTCTCAGTTTCAGTAGGTCCCATTTATTCAATGTTGCCCTTAATGTCTGTGCTTCTGGGGTTATACATAGGAAGCGATGTCCTGTGCCCATCTGTTGTAGGGTATTTCCCACTTTCTCTTCTATCAGGTTCAGTGTGTTCTGGCTGATATTGAGGTCTTTAATCCATTTAGACTTGAGTTTTGTGCACGGTGAGAGATATGGGTCTATTTTCATTCTTCTACAGGTTGACATCCAGTTGTGCCAGCACCATTTGTTGAAGATGCTTTCTTTCTTCCATTGTATACTTTTAGCTCCTTTATCGAAAATGAGGTGTTCATAGGTTTGTGGGATAAGATCCGGGTCTTCTATACGATTCCATTGGTCGACTTCTCTGTTTTTATGCCAGTACCACACTGTTTTCATTACTGTAGCTCTGTAATGGAGTTTGAAGTCAGGGATGGTAATGCCTCCAGAAGATCCTTTATTGTATAGAATTGTTTTGGCTATCCTGGGTTTTTTGTTTTTCCATATAAAGTTGATTATTGTCTTCTCCAGATCTGTGAAGAATTTTGATGGGATCTTGATGGGGATTGCATTGAATCTATAAATTGCCTTAGGTAGAATTGCCATTTTTACTATGTTGATCCTCCCAATCCAAGAGCAAGGGAGGTCCATCCATTTTTTGGTATCCTCTTCAATTTCTTTCTTCAATGCCTTAAAGTTCTTGTCAAATAAATCTTTCACTTCCTTGGTTAGATTTACCCCAAGATATTTTATGCTGTTTGTGGCTATCGTGAATGGTGAAGCTTCTCTGATTTCTCTCTCTGCTTCCATATCCTTTGTGTATAAGAGGGCGACTGATTTTTTTGGAGTTGATCTTGTATCCTGCCACATTACTAAAGCTGTTTATCAGCTGTATAAGTTCTTTGGTGGAGTTTTGGGGGTCGCTTATGTACACTATCATATCATCTGCAAATAACGAAAGTTTAACTTCTTCCTTTCCAATTCGAATCCCCTTGATCCCATTATGTTGTCTTATTGCTATTGCTAGAACTTCAAGCACTATATTGAAGAGGTATGGCGAGAGTGGACAGCCTTGCCTTGTTCCTGAGTTAAGTGGGATGGCTTTGAGTTTCTCTCCGTTTAATTTGATGTTAGCTGTCGGCTTGCTGTATATAGCTTTTATTATATTTAGGTATGACCCTTGTATCCCTAATCTCTCCAAGACTTTTAACATAAATGGATGTTGAATTTTGTCAAATGCTTTTTCAGCATCTAATGAAATGATCATATGGTTTTTTTCTTTCAGTTTATTTATATGCTGGATTACATTGATAGATTTTCGTATGTTGAACCAGCCCTGCATCTGAGGAATGAAGCCTACTTGATCATAATGGATAATTTTTCGGATGTGTTCTTGGATTCGATTTGCCAGTATTTTGTTGAGGATTTTTGCGTCGATATTCATGAGTGAGATTGGCCTGTAGTTCTCTTTCCTGGTTGAGTCTTTGAGTGGTTTTGGTATCAGAGTAATTGTGGCTTCATAAAAGGAATTTGGTAATGAACCTTCTGTTTCTATATTGTGGAATACATTAAGGAGTATAGGTATTAGGTCTTCTTGGAAGTTCTGGTAGAATTCTGCAATGAAACCATCTGGTCCTGGGCTTTTTTTGGTAGGGAGGTTTTTGATAACAGCTTCTAATTCTTCGCGACTTACAGGTCTGTTTGGATTGTTCACCTGATCCTGGTTTAGTTTTGGTAGATGGTATTTATCTAAAAAAGCATCCATTTCTTTTACATTTTCCAGTTTTGTGGCATACAGGCTTTTGTAGTAAGATCTAATGACTCTCTGAATTTCCTCTGTGTCTGTGGTTATGTCCCCCTTTTCATTTCTGATCTTATTAATTTGCAAATTCTCTCTCTGTCGTTTGATTAGTTTGGATAGGGGTTTATCAATCTTGTTGATTTTCTCCAGGAACCAGCTTTTTGTTTCATTGATTGTTTGGATTGTTTTCTGTGTTTCTATTTTGTTGATTTCAGCCCTCAATTTGATTATTTCCAGTCTTCTACTCCTCCTAGGTGAGTCTGCTTCTTTTTTTTCTAGAGCTTTCAAGTGGGCTGTTAAGTCTCCAGTATGTGCTTTCTCTGTTTTCTTTAGGTGGGCACTTAGTGCTATGAACTTTCCTCTCAGGACTGCTTTCATAGTGTCCCATAAGTTCGAGTATGTTGTTTCTTTATTTTCATTGAATTCAAGGAAGACTTTAATTTCTTTCTTTATTTCTTCCTTAATCCAGGTATGGTTCAGTAGTTGACTGTTCAGTTTCCATGAGTTTGTAGGCTTTCTGGGGGTAGCATTGTTGTTGAATTCTAACTTTAATCCATGGTGATCTGATAAGACACAGGTGGTTACTAATATTTTTTTGTAACTGTGTAAGTTCGCTTTGTTACCAAGTATGTGGTCAATTTTCGAGAAGGTTCCATGAGCTGCAGAGAAGAAGGTATATTCTTTCCTCTTTGGGTGGAATAATCTATAGATGTCTGTTAAGTCCATTTGCTTCATTACCTCCATTAATTCTCTAATTTCTCTGTTAGGTTTCTGTCTGATTGACCTGTCCATTGGTGAGAGAGGAGTGTTGAAGTCTCCTACTATTAGTGTGTGCGGTTTGATGTCTGCCTTGAGTTTTAGTAATGTTTCTTTTACGTACGTGGGTGCTTTTATATTAGGGGCATAGATATTCAGGATTGAGACTTCTTCCTGATGAATTGTTCCTGTTATGAGTATAAAATGTCCCTCTCCATCTCTTCTGATTGATTTAAGTTTGAAGTCAACTTTGTTAGAAATTAGTATGGCCACACCTGCTTGTTTCTTAGGTCCATTTGCTTGATAAGCCTTTTCCCAGCCCTTTACTCTGAGTAGGTGCCTGTCTTTGTGGTTGAGGTGTGTTTCTTGTAGACAGCAGAATGTTGGATCCTGTTTTCTTATCCAATCTCTTAGCCTGTGCCTTTTTATAGGTGAGTTGAGCCCATTGATATTAAGTGATATTAATGACCAGTGGTTGTTAACTCCGGTCTCTTTTTTAGTAGTAGGGTTTGTGTGTTTTCCTTCTTTGATTTGCGCTGGTGAAGAGTCTCTAGATGTCTGAGTTATTGTGGTCATTGTTGGACTCCTTGGTTAGTGATTTTCCTTCTATTATTTTCTGTAAGGCTTGATTTGTGGCTACGTATTGTTTAAATTTGTTTTTATCCTGGAAAATTTTGTTTTCTCCATTTATAGTGAATGAAAGTTTGGCTGGATATAGTAGTCTGGGCTTGCATCCGTAGTCTCTTAGTTTTTGGAGAAAATCTATCCAGGACCTTCTGGCTTTCATGGTTTCCATAGAGAAGTCAGGTGTAAGTCTGATAGGTTTACCTTTATAAGTAACTTGGCCTTTTTCCTTTGCGGCTCTTAATATTCTTTCTTTATTCTGTATATTTTGTGTTTTGATTATTATATGGCGAGGGGATGTTTTCTTTTGATCCAGCCTATTTGGTGTTCTGTATGCTTCTTGAACCTTCATAGGTACATCTGTCTTCAGTTTGGGAAAGTTTTCTTCTATAATTTTATTAAGTATATTTTCTGCACCGTTGAGCTGCACTTCTTCTCCTTCTTCTATTCCAATTATTCTTAGGTTTGGTCTTTTTATTGTGTCCCATATTTCCTGAATGTTTTGTGATGAGAGTTTGTTGGACTTGCTGTTTTCTTTGATCAGAGTGTTTATTTTCTCTATGCTATCCTCAGAATCTGAGATTCTTTCTTCTATCTCTTGTATTCTGCTGGTTATACTTGATTCTGTAGTCTCTATTCGTTTACCTAGATTTTCCATGTCCAGCCAGCCCTCTGTTTGTGTTTTCTTCTTTGCCTCCATTTCAGTTTTCAAGTCATGAACTGTTTCCTTTATCTGCTTGATTGTTTTTCCTTGGTTTCCTAGGGTATCATTCACTGATTTACTCAATTCCTCGAACTTTCTATTATACTTCTCATCCATTTCCATAAGGGCGTTTTTTATATGCTGTTTAAGGGTGTCAATCACTTTCATGAAGTCAGTTTTTTCTACTTCTTCTTGATTAAGGTGTTCATGTCCTCCTGTTGTGAGGTCACTGGCTTCTGGTGGTTTCGTGTTGTTTTTCAGATTGTTGGGAGAATTCCTGCATTGGCGTCTTCCCATCTCTTCCTCCCAATACTCCCTTTTGGATCTTCTTTTACAGGATCAGGTCTTCTTGCCCACTGATGTACCTTCCCAGTGATGTCACTCCCCAGAGATGTTTCTCCACAATGATGTTTCACTAGGTGCCCAGATCGAAACTCCGCGCTGCCTGGTTAGCTCACGAACAAAGGGCCCACCCCACTCGCTGCGGGCAGGCTATGGGAACAAAGGAGCTACCGGCCACCCCTTTGTCCTCCCGGTTCGGTCCCAGCGTCCTAGCAGGCTGGGCAGGGAGGCGCGATGCCCCAAAGGAGGGAGAGAGGGAGGGAGACAGGGGGTGTGGGGATCTGGATGTAAGCTGAATGGGATAGAAATAGAGAGGCGGTTTGGGCAGTATAGCCCCTGTAGGATGGCCTGGAAGTGTGGGCGGGCTGAGGTATGTTCCCAGCTGCTGCAGCACTCACTCACCACAATGATGTTTCACTCGGTGCCCAGATGGAAACTCCGCGCTGCCTGGTTAGCTCGCGAACAAAGGGCTTCTTCCTTTATTGACTAGATGTTGAACCATTTATTACAGTCACATGAAGCTATCTAAATGGTGGAAAATTTAGGAACATGGTACCTTTTCTTGCCTTGAATTCAATGAGCATGCATTCTGTAGCATATGGTTTTCATTGTCCTCTTCATCTGTTTCAGTTAAGATCCCTGATGCAGCTTTTATTCGGGAAGCCCGCAGAAAACGTGAGTTGGCCAGGACCCCAGGTGACTATATTTCACTGGACATAAACCATCCCTCCACCATTTCTGACCGGAAGAAGAGCAGTGAGTACGACCCGGAGAGTGATCCTGATGACGATGAAAAGAGAATACTGTTTACCCCAAAGCCTCAAACACTCAGACAAAGAATGGCTGAAGAAACGTGTATGTATTTATTTTATTTACCGGCATATAAAGATCAAGACATTTTCATTACAATAGTGAAATTTGTTTGTTCATGACCATGTTCTTATCATTTCTCAAAAAAAATTGCTCTTGGAAATGGGGATGCAGCTCAGTTGGCAGTCTTCTTTGTTGTTGTTTTTTCTATGATTTATTTATTATGTACACAATGTTCTGCCTGCATGTATGCCTACAGGCCAGAAGAGGGCACCAAATCTCATTACAAATGGTTGTGAGCCACCATGTAGTTGCTGAGAATTAAACTCAGGACCTCTGGAAGAGCAGCCAGTACTCTTAACCTCTGAGCCACCTCTCCAACCCCCAGTCTTTCTAGTGTGCATGAAGGCTTGGGTTAGAGCCCCAGTTACACAGTTGTGATGGCGCATTCCTCTAATCCTTGCACCAAGAAGTCTCTTGCCCACCCCCCCAAAACAGTGGCACCAAGCTGAATCCCCAGTCCATAGTATCATGGCTTTTAAATGATACGATTCTGTCATATCATCTAACGTTCCCTCAGGGTGTGTGTTGTGATATTTACTAATACTGGGCTGTTCGCAGTTCTCATTTGTAACATGTGCCTCATCACACTTTTCCACAGAATAAAACTGGTCCCTGTACCCAGAAATTTTCTTTGTGTTTGAGACAGCGTCTCGTGTATCCAGGCTAGTCTCAGACTTACCAAGTAGCTAAAGATGACCTTGAATTTCTTATCCCTACTTCCCAAATACCAGGATTGTATGGGTATGTGCCACCACCATATGAGACTTACAAGGTCCTAGGGATTGAATTCAGGGCTTCATGCATGATAGGCAAGCACTCTTCAACTATGCTATGTCCTAGGCTCCCAGAAACTATTTTTTAAATGTTAATTCTTAGGTATGAATTAAGTATCTTTTTCTTTTAAAAATGTGTTAATTTATTTTACTTTTTATTGATTTTTGCTTATTTTATGTGTGTGAGCTCACATGTGAGTGCTCGTGTGGTCATGTGGAGTTCAGAGTGCACTTGTGGCTGTCAAGAGGATAAATCGCAGTAGTGTTTCTCTTCCATCATGTGTTATGGGTCCCAGGATGGAACTCAGGTCATTGAGCCTGATGTCAGACACCTTTAACCATTGGGCCATCTTACTAGCCCCATTTACTTATTCTGTGCTGTGTGTGAGAGTATGGGCACATACATGTCACAGTATAACTGTGGCGGTCAGAGAACAACTTGTGGGAAGCTGGTTCTTCAGGGTTGTCAAGATTGATGGCAAATGTACTTGCTAAGCCATCTATTCTCCCCAGCCCTTCCATATGGGAACATGGGTGGCTGGTGTTGAGCATGCTGGCCCTGGACCCAGTGGCTGCATTTGAGTTCCCATTGCGAGACAGCACTGCAGCTAGTTACTTAGCCCTGAAAATAGTGAGCGTTAACGTGTGTCTTCTGGTGTATAGCAGTCAGAAATGAAGAGGCAAGCGAAGAGAAAGAGAGTCCGGAAGATGTAAATCAGGACATTTGGGAACAACAGCAGATGAGGAAAGCAGTCAAGATCATACAGGTAACTGTTTCTATGTCTGTGCTATATGTTAGCATCCTGAGGGCTCTGTAACAAATTACCACAAACCTGGTGACTTTATTTTTACTTTTAAAAATTGTCCTGGGGGAGCACTCAAGCCACGTGCATGTATGTGTGAAGTAGGACGGCTTTGTAGAGTTGGTTCCGTCTTTCCAGTGGCATGAATTGTGGAGATCAAGCGCAGGGCTATGCACAGCTTTCCTGCTGAGCCATCACGTGTGCCGTGAGTTGTCAGGACTGCGTGAGAACTGCTTTTCCCAATTGTGGGTGCTCTGGGTGACTCCAGGACCCCCTGCCCTGTCTCTGCCTCCGCATGCCTTCTCTGTGTCTGCTCTGTGTGTCTTAGGAAGACAGTTGTATTTGCATTTAGGATCACCCAGAAAATCAGTTTATTCTCGTCTGGTTTCTTCCTTAGCTATAACCACGAAGACTCTTCATCACATGGGACAAGTCTAAGCCCTGAGTGAGCTCTGGGGGTAGAACTTGGGGAGGACCATCATTTAACTCACTATAAGAGCTAAAAAGTATAGGGGAAACCATGATCATTTTGGAATTTCAAACTAGAGAACTTACTAACAGATTGTTTTTATAATTTTTTTAAGTCCTCACTTTTGGTAAAGCCCGTGCATCCAAAGAACTTCCAAATAGCACTTTGAGAAGAAATATGTTCAGTTCTTGCTGTATAGCTCAAGCTTACCAATTCCCTTGTGCTTGCTGCTTTTCCTTTTAAAGACTAATTATTACTGTGGTAAAATACCAGAGGTTCCAGAGCATTCGTACAGAGTACTTGATAGCACAGTGATTGTCATGGTCATCCTAACCAAAATAATCAACTTCATTTATTAAGTAGTTAAGTCTAGAGAGTTTAATGAGATTTGTGCCCTAACAGCTTAATAACTATCAGAAAAAGAGAATACAGATAAATTGAGGAAATGTTGGATAAGATGGCTCAGCAGGTAAAATGTTTACCACACAAGTCTGGTGACTTAAGATGGCTCCCCGAAACTCGATGTGGAAGGAGAGAATCAACTCTACAAAGTTGTCCTCTGACTAGACATTCGAAGCCTGTGTGTGCCCGTATATGCACAGACACTGTAACACTGATTTTGTGTTACACCCTCGGTACAGTTCGCGCGCCACTGTACCTAACACGAGTAGAGCAAGGGCCTGGAGATTGAAAGAACACACAGAGAGACCAGGGTCATTCAAAAGGAGATCAGCCGAATGCCAGTTTATTCAGACTTGGGGAAATCCTTATGTATCTAACTACTGCACAAGGATCTCCGCCCAGGCAGGTGGGAAATTACCATATTAACAATGGAGTAAATGTCCTGCAGCTAATCACCAGGCGGGGCAGGGAGAGCACAGAAGCACACAGGAAGCTTAGTTAGCTGATCATAAACTGTCCCCGCGAATGCACCCCAGGAATAAGGGAGACCAGGGCCCTACAAGACACAATAGTTTCATTAAGTATCCACGCTGCATAGTAATGAGAAGTGTGCCAGTAAGAGTGTTGTTCCATAGTCCCTGCTTCAGTTCCTGCTGACAGGCTCCTGCCTGGCGTCTCCCTGATGTGGAGCTGCTGTTTGGCACTGTAAGATGAAATCAGCCCTTTCCTCCCCAAGTTGCTTCTAGTCAGTGTTTTATCCCAGAAACTGAGAAGCAGATAAAAACACCTTGTTTCTGCCTTCTTATAACTCCTGTTGGTGTCTAACATTGGTGAGAGTTGGCAGATCCTGATTTTCTTGAGCGTCCTTCCTTGTTCCTTGTCTGAAATAGTGGACTTTGAGAATTTGCTTTACATGGCAAGTGTGGTAGTGGTGAGCTGTGGTTGCCAAAGAGACTGATGGGAAGGGCCATAAGATACTCTTTTAGGAATGTAGTCTCTGCAGGCTCCAAATTCCAAACAGCCATGGCTTTACTTACTCCCGTTTCTTCAAGAACTCCATGACGTCCCAAGAATGCATCAGAATATCTGTAAAATTAGCTTTGAAATTTTAGGAACTAACTTTCGTGGAAATCAAAACTTTCAAATGTGTTTTGTACATATAAATGTAATAGACAGGGTGGAACTGTAGCTCAGTGGCAGTGCACTTGCCTAGCAGACACCAGGCCCTAAGTTCAGTCCTCAGTACTGCCAGGGCAGGGCTGGGTTGGGGTGGGAGGCTGGGGTTTCTTGGTTTGGGGTTTTGTTTCTTTGAGACTAGCTCTCCCTATGTAGCGCTGGCTGTCCTGGTACTCGCTATGTGGATGAGGCTGGCACCACAGCGCCTGGCTGGAAAAAAAAAGCACTGATATATACCAAAGTTGATGAAGGATTTTTTTAAAAAATATTTTATTGTGATCATGATATTATAAAGACATGGGAACCTTATTTAGTCTCTTTTGTGTGGTAAATGAAATTTTTTTTAAAAATTAACTCTTCATATCTCTTAGGGACAGAACATAGACCTTTCCTACAACAGTGGGTCTCAGACACTGAAGAAGTTTGATACTTCCGTTTCATTTCCACCAGTAAATTTGGAAATTATAAAGAAACAATTAAATAATAGGTGAGTAATGTTTATTTTGTAATTTATATTCGTCCTCAGTGATTAGTAGTAAAAAAGCTCTCTATTTTAATTATTAAACATTAACATTGAACAGGTTATAGGAAAAGGTCTCATTTTACCATATAAATAGCAGATTTTCTTGTTAGTCTTAATGACAAATATTCCCTACATGATTAAAACCAGTAATTGCAATTTTTAAAAACTTAATATGATGACTCAAGGCATTTTTCTACACTGCTGGATTTCATTGGGGTTGTGTGTGTGTGGTCTTTAGAGGTGTGGTCTTGGTTTGTAGCTTAACTGGCCTTGAACTCCTATCCTCTGACTTCCTCCTCTGAAGGAGCCCTCCCTTGCGTGCTTCCGTGGTGTACCATCACGTTCATCTTCTGTAGTAAATAGTTGATGCTTGTTCCTATAGTTAATTTATTTATTCGTCTGTTCTAAGTCTCATCCTTGTGTTGCTGTAGTAGTGAACATGTCTCTTAGTTTTGTTGTGTTTTGTGAGGCAGGGTCTTATTCTGCAGCCCAGGCCAGCCTCAGATGTAACTGTGCAGCCTTGGCTGCCTTTGAATAATGACTCTCCTACCTTGGCCTCCCTAGTGCTGGGATTATAGGTGTGTGTGACTGCATCTGGCTTTTTGTGTGTGTGCATGTGCTTTTTCTTAAACTATATTAACTTAAAATTTACCATGACCAAGAGCTTATTTTTATGACTCTTAGTACAGTGCCTTCCAGAAGCACAGTTCTTTTTTACACTCTGGGCCTTGATAATTACCCTGAGCCGATAGTGCTAACCTTATGACTTACACTTTGCTAAAATAATGGCATGTCCTGCCAGAGGCTATTGGTTCTGAGTACTTTATTACAGAATATACTCAGAATCCAGTGTCTGCTGGTCCCTGTTTATAAGAGAGTAGATGTGATGGTCAGGGTTTGATTAGCCCATGTGACAGTATGGCATAAGGGCATTTGATTCTGCTGCCTTTAGAGAATATCCTCATTTTTTTTTCAAAGTGTATAGTGCACATATACATAGCACATGTGTGGAGTCAGAGCACAGCTTTGAGGGGTCAATTCTCTCCTTCCATCTTTACATGGGGTTCGGAGATTGAACTCAGGACATCAGGCTTCTGCATTACCCCTAAGTGACTAGCTCAAGATGGGTTTTTTTCTTGCCTGAGAATAGGTTCAGATTTTCCTTTCCTAATATCTGTAAGTAAGCTTTAAAGTAACTCAGTTTCTTAATCACATTGCAGAATCTGTCGATTGTAGCTGTTCGTTTAAAGATATTTTTATAGAAAAGACACTTTGTAATATTATGAAATAAATATTTGAAATCTTCAAACTTACCAGCACTTAGTATCTTTATTCTGTGAGGTTAGCAGCCTCCAGACCACTGTGTGTTGGTAGTACTGCCTGTGGGTACTTCGGTGATACAGCACAGAGCTGAGTAGTGCAGGAGCAATTATGCAGCTCTAAAAGCTGAGATAGTTACTGTCTGATCTGCTACAAAATAAGCTTACCAACTTCTAAACAGATTCAAGATTATTTCTGAAGTACATTCATTATCATTTACTGGAGTTTTGATTAGCTTTCCTTAGTTAGAATAAAACAGAATTAAAGCTCCTACATCTCCTGCATATAAACCGCAGACCATCTGGTGTTTGCTGAGGGACTGCATCTGAGAGAATTGTCTTGAGTGACAGAATGAAAGGCAGTGGGTCACTGGGTAGACTAATGTCGCAGATACTCTCTGAGTAAATGCTACTTTTAACTTTATTATGGTCTGTTTTTCAAGTAGGCTTTTTATTTTAAAAGGAAAATGTGTTTTCTAATAAATCAGTACAAAATGATACACACTGAGAAGAAAACTGGCTTCCCTTAGGAAATTTGCCACTAGTTTGTTTTATTTTCTTCTAGAAATTGCCTCATGTATGTATCTTATAGAAGTACATAGTATTTTTATATTGCCCCATTTCTTTTATTTAAAAAAAAAGCCGAGCCAATGTACACCCTGATGTATGGCTATCTTTATTAACATAACATATGCTTAGAAAGTCTATCACTTTAATGTTCTACTTAAAATAATCCATCCATGATTTTTGCTGCATGTTATTGTTTTAATCCCTCACTAGTGTGGAGGGGAGGGGAAAAGGAAGGGTAAGGAAGGAGTTCAAGGTCATCCTTTTGATACCTAGTGCCCTTCAGGCCAGTTAAAGAGACCCAGTTTCAAGAAATAATTAAATGAAGAAATTAGTCCTATGGTCACCATCTGTCTCTGAGTCCTTGTAGGTATCCTTTTGTGCCTTTTTCTTTGAGATCAGCAATTGTCTTCTCCTTAGCTTCACACACCTAAACCAGGTTTCTGTAGGAATCACTGTCCCTAGCTGTGTTTGAAAACATCTTCATTAGCATACTGGTTAAAAGAAAAGGTATGAAAATGAAACTTTTATTTTATTTAGATTAACATTACTACAGGATACTTATCGCTCGCACCAGAGAGAATATGAAAAATATGAACAAGACATCAAGAGTTCAAAGACTGCAATCCAGAACCTGGAGAATGCACCTGATCAAAATCTAAACTACAAATTCTACAAAGGCATGAAAATTTATGTGGAAAATATAATTGATTGTCTAAATGAAAAGGTATATATAACTATTCTTAAAGTTAGAACCCTCCCTTATTGGTCAGTTAACAGAGAAAAGTCAGGCTGGGGAGATGGCTCCATGGGTAAAGGATTAAACAAACACAGGGACTGAGAACCCACGTAGAAGAGGTATGGTGGGGTGGGTTTTCAACAGGCTCTTACTGAGTTCTAGGATGACAGTTCCATGCTACCACACAGATCTTTAACAAGCTGTTCACATTCCCTTTTATGTTAGACATGGGCTGTTAGTTGGTTTGGGGGTTTTGAGATTTTTGTTTTCATTTGGTTTTTGGTTTTTTAGTTGCTATTGTAAAAAGTTACATAAAACTTTTGGCATACATTTTTTTTCCATGTATATCGAGACTGCAGTTTCCCCTTTCTCCTCCCAGTCCCTCCCTCCACGTCCTCTCTCTCCCAGATCCACTCCTCCATTTATTTCCCTTCAGGAAAGGGCGGGTCTCTAAGTGATATCAACCAAACATGGCATGGCATGTTGCAGTAAGACTAGGAACATCTCCTCATATTAAGGCTCAATCATAACATTTCATCTAAGACATATTACTGGAAAAATTAATTGCTAGATTGGTTAAAAAAATGGATTTTGTAAAATGTCTATTTTGATGGGGGGTGGACCTTCATTTTCTTAGCTGGATTAATTTTGCTTATGAACAAGGTCCCAGTCTAAAGCTTAGGGTGACTTGGTTCACTTGGGGTGATCATCCTGCCTTAGCCTCCTCAGTTCTGGGAGTTCACATGTGTGAGCCACCATGCCCTGTGGAGATCTTTTTCTTATAAATTCTCTAAGTCCTTTGCTCTGTTCAAGTCTTGGTTCTTAGATTTTTTTTTCTCTTAGTTTTTAGAATTTAAACAAATCTTTATGGTTCCAAACATATTGTGTTTAATTTGTTTGGTTGTTTTTGCCTGCATGTATGTCTGTACAGCTCATGCATTCAGTGTGTAGAGTCCAGAAAAGAGCATCAGATCCCCTGGTACTGGAATTTCAGGTGGTTGTGAGCTGCCATATGAGTGCTACACATTGAACTGGGGTCCTAGAAGAGCGGCCAGTGTTCTTAACCACTGAGCCGTCTCTGCAGCCCAATTTAAAGTTTTTAATTTTAAATAATTTTAAGATAGTTATTCAATTAATCTAAAACTTACAGGATTTATTTTGATACTTGTAGGTTTTAAAATTTCACACTGTAGGTCTTTAAGTCTTTCACCTCACACATTTGTGTTTTGTGCATATTCAGTCCTGACATTAGAATCTTTACTACCTTTCTACAAGGTAAGTTATTTATACCACAGAACTAAATAAGATAGGGCTGGGCAGCGGTGGCACACACCTTTAATCCCAGCACTCGGGAGGCAGAGGTAGGCAGATCTCTGTGAGTTCAAGGCCAGCCTAGTCTACAGAGTGAGGAGCGAGTTCCAGGACAGACTCCAAAGCCACAGAGAAACCCTGTCTGGAAGAACCAAAAAAAAAAAAAAAAAAAGAAGAATAAAGGAAGGAAAAGAAAAAGGATTAAAAAAAAAAAGTCTACTTTTTATGTCATTCTATCCATCATGAAATATTATCTGTCCTTTACATGTTAATTGTCAGTGATGCTTGCCTTCTGTGGTATTTTTTAGTCTTAATTATTTTCTTCATTTGTCTTTGGATTACACTTTTCACATCCTACTGACCTACATGGGGTTGCTGTAGCTGGCACCCTGGAAGAAGCTGCAGGGCACTGGAGTAAAGTGACTGCTCTTAGGAAGTAGGATTCCAGTTTCTTCTGGTTACAGATTTCTGTAGCAAAGCCCTCTTAGCTGTCCCTAGAAACTCTCTTCCATTTTATGAAGTTTATTCTGGTGCCGGGGCTCAAAAGGGGGCCTTACGCCTGCTAGGCAGACCCTGTGCCCCTTGCTGCATCCCAGCTTCTGTCCTCTCATTCCCCTCCGTCCTGGCACTGCCATTTGGTTCATATAGAGTTATTTATTCAAGAATTGAATATATACATGTGATGATAATACCTTTTACTCTTTCTATAATTCTTTATTGATAAACAGGGAAATGTCACATATGTGTTTCAGATTATCAGCATTGAGGAACTAGAATCATCCACGCGCACGCTGCTTTTAAAACGATCAGAAGCACTTTTGAAACGCAGGCAAGATGAGCTAAAATGGGAATCATCCTATCTGCAACAGTTATCACGTTAGTAGTCCCTGTGTTCTGTTACTATTGCTAAACTAGATTGCCATCTGGAGAGTAAAAGTACTTTTAGTTCTCTATTTTTTTTAAAAAAAAAATAGGATTGTATTGCCGTGATGAAACACTATAACCAAAAGCAAGTCGGGGAGGAAAGGGTTTATTTTCGTCACAGTTCCATGTCACAGTTCATCACCAGAAGCAGGTAGGGCAAGAATGCAAGCAGGATAGGAATCCTGTCTTGCTTCCATTGCTTGCTCAGCCTGCTTTCTTACAGAACCCAGGACCACCAACCCAGCGGTGACCCTCCCACATCAATCACTAGTTAAGAATATACCCTAAAGGATTTCCTACAGCCAGATCTTATCAAGACATTTTCTTAGTTGAGGCTCCCTCCTCTCTGATGACTCTTAACTTGTGTCAAATTGACATAAAACTAGCCAGAAAAAGCTTTTTTCTATGTTTTCATGCCGATCCTTTTCCCAAACATGATATTACAGAGAGGAGTTTGAATATACCTTGTTTAAGGTTAGAAACTAAATATTAGAATTTCCAGTCATTTAAGCATTTGAGACAGAGTTTAAGTGTTTATTTTCTTCGTATGTGTGTGTGAGTATATATAAGTGCATCACACATATGCAGGACTGTTCAGAGGTTAAAAGGATATACAGTCCACTGGGACTGCCAATACAGATAATTATAAGCCATGTAGGTGCTTGGAACTGAAAAAAAAGCAGTCAGTGCTCTTAACTGCTGAGCCGTCTCCCCAGCTCTCTTGACAGTGTGTATTTATATGCCGTTAAATGAGCAGAGTGTTTGGAAAGGACTTTCCAGCTCTGTAGTTGAAGCCTGTGAAGACTGGTGGGTGTCAGCAGAGTTGGTAAGGGATGGCCATTCCATGTCCTCACACCACACTGCAGTGGTGTCTTAGCTTGAGGTGCTCTTGGGAGTGAGATCCAGTGTAGGTGACAAAGAACAGTAAAGTGACTGCCAAACTCCCATATTTGGTCATTCGTAAACAGTGGAACTTGGTGAATGAAGCAAGCCATACATAGTATAAGTAAGATGTTGGCAGTGTAAATATTTCTAGTATATGATTACAGAGGAAATTGGTGTAATTTGCTAGAAAAGAAAAAAGAATGAAAAAAAAGAAACCTACTGTACTAATGGCACACACCAGCAAGATACATTTAGGGCAACAGGCTTGATGGTTGTTAACACTGATAAGTAATGGACATTTAGATTCATTGATAATATAATTACATTTTGAGCACATTTCGTGTTCTTATATATACACATACATACTTCATATTACCTATAGCCTCAGTGATTCACTGTTCTGAGACTGTAGTACAAAGCTAATTTTGTGAATTAACAGGCAAAGCTGAGACATCGGCAAATGGAAGCTTGGCCCTAGATGACAAGGATCAGCGAATTCTGGAAGAGATTGAAGCACGAAGGTATCTGTACAAAGTGAAGTCTTAGCACACTGAGCAAGCACTTTTTACTATTGCAGTAGAATTAACTTTGTGAGATAATCACCCCGCCTGACATGCCGAGTTTCAAGAATGATGTAAAACCAAAGCTGAGTTCAGCTGGCCTCACTACTTTAGAGACAAACTGGGGCTCAGGCAGAACTAGTGAGGTGGCCTTTGTTAGGCGGATTGCTTTGAACTAGAAACCACTTCTAACTAGTTGCACTCTCTTTAAGAAGTCTTTCCATTCAGAGAATGATCTGAGTTGTACAAGAACCAAAGAAGCTAAAGAAACAGAAAGTGTCTGACATAGTTAGATAAAATGGTGTTAGTATGGTGATGTGTCCATTTGAGAACAATAACATTGTTTTTCAGTATTTTCTACAAGAACTGTTTGCTTTTGGTTTACTTTATTGCACAATGCAGGATGCAAAGAAGACAAGCAAGGGTGCTCGCTGGCAACTGTGACCATCAGGAAGGGACTTCTAGTGACGATGAGCTGTCTCCTGCAGAGATGACCAACTTCCAAAAACGCCAAGGTCAATTGCCAAGGTTCTAACTTATTTGAAGTGTTAAAATAGTGAGGAAGACTTGTTATAGCTGCCGTTAGATCCATACTACTAAGGCAGGAAAATTTAAGAAAAATGAAAACATTTTTTGCATCAGACTTGCTCCTCCGGAAAAGTGTGATGTGCTCAAAAACAGACATTTGCCAAGTTCCCAACTATGAATCTCAGTGAACTCCACAGTGAGCCTGGAGCCTGCTTGGGGTTCTGTACTTTCATTATCAGTTACACTTTGCCTTTCCAGTTTTGTAAAGTTTTATTAAAGGTGTAATGTTCCTGCTGGACAAAGAAGGACGCAGCGTGCCTGTCCAACACAGTGCTGGTCCACACAGCCTTCGGAGGGTTCTCGTAGGAGTGTTGAGAGATGTTGGATCTTGAGTTGAGGGCAGGGCACTAATACTTGGGCTCCTCATCCTTTCAGCTACACTTTATTTACCTCTCCACTGTTTGCACACACAGGAAAAAACTATGTCAGAACTGAAAATAGAAAGCAAGTAGCTTTAGATTGTCTCATGACTGTATGCCCTTTACCTGTATTTTTGTTCCCTAACATTAGCCTTTCCTTTTCTCCTTTCTACAGTGCTACACTGTACCTACACTTGATTTGTTTCCATATAGACATGTATGCAATATAGGGTACCATCTGCCTAGGAGGGAGAATGTGAAGTGTTTTCCTTTCTGAGATTAGGTGACCGCTCTTAATGTTAGACATTCTAAGTCCATCCATTTTCCTGCAATTTTGTGATTTCATTTTTCTTTAGCTCCAAATAGTATTCCATGTTAGATATGTCCTAGGTTCTCAACATCAGTTCATGGTGGACATCTTGGTTGTTCCATTTCCTTTCTTGTAGAGCATCAAGAAACAAGGGTTGCAGATATGTCTATGATAGGGTCTGTGGTTCTCTGGGTGTATGTACGCTCAGGAGTAAATAGCTTAATTTTTTGAGGAACCTCCAAACTGATTGCCTTCATGGCCGAGGATAAGGTTCCTCTTCCCCCACATCTCCAGCATTTACTGTTGGGTTTCCTGATGGCTTTTCTGACTAGAGACAGGCTCTCAGTAGTTACAATCTGTGCTTCCCTGATTTGAGTAGCTTTAAAATTGCCATTGGCCATTTGTGTTTCTTTTGAAAACGTTCAGTTACTAGCTCATTTGTTGATTGGCAGTTTCTTTCCTTGGTTTTTAAACTCTGGTTCTTTGTGAATTCTGGGTTCTAACCTGTGCCTGAGTACAGTTGGTTAAGCTTTCCTTCCATCCTGTGGCCTGCCTGTGCTCTGCTGATGGGTGACCCAAGAAGGTCATAGTGCAGCCCAAAGGTTCTGGGCTTTGTTGTTCACGAGACTCAATGGAAAGGGGCTTTTTTCCTTGCCTGCCTCAGTTCAATATCATTTGCTTGTTTTGTTTAAATCAGTGGGTTTTATCTGCCTTAACGGGAAGGTGGCTATGGTAATGATATGGGACAATAAGTGTATAATATTTTGGCCTATAGAGATGGACTCAATACATAGTAGGCTTTATTAGTGTCGATATTACCACTTTTGTTACAAGTGACTTTTTAAATAAAATTAAACTGAAACTCATAATTAATTGTTGGCAGGAAAGTAGGCTTAAAATACATAACATAAAGAGACTTACTTTGTTTGCAGGTGACATTTTACAAGATTGTAAGAAAGTTTTTGAAGATGTGCATGATGATTTTTGTAACGTCCAGAATATTTTATTGAAATTTCAGCAGTGGCGAGAAAAGTTTCCTGATTCCTACTACGAAGCCTTCGTTGGTTTCTGCTTACCAAAGCTTTTAAGTCCCCTGATACGAGTTCAGTTGCTTGATTGGAATCCTCTTAAGGTATCAGTGCTTAACATGTGCCTGTGCTGGTCATGTCTGCTACTAATGTGTCCTGCCCATCAGGCTAACTATAAAATATCACAACTTCAGCCTGGCCTGATGGCTTAGCAGGTAGCTACAAGGCTTATGACCTGAGTTTGGATTCTGGAACCCATGTGATTGAAAGAGAGAATTAAATGCCACAAGTTGTTCTCTGTCTCACACATGCCACCCCATAGCATATGTGCTGGTGTGCATGCAACACACACACACAAGTAAATTGATTCTAAGGCATAGTAGGACCAAACACCAGTAATTCAAACCTATTTTTAATGCTCTTAAAATGTGTGCAAATTTCCCCAGAATGATGCTGCATTAAGTTTGGTAAATTTGACTTAAAAACCTGTTCCAAGGATTATGAAGTTGGAAGTGACAAGCTGGAAAGAGTTGGTTAGCAGAACACATTGAGGAGAAGGCATGAAAGCGGGACCGCAGGGGTGAGCAGGGGCTCATGAGAGCACTTTCCTGAGTGAGGGGGATGTCAGTTCAGGTGAGTACACTAGCCTTCAAGCCTGGATTCAGAGCTGAGGATATGAAAGTAATACGAAAAGTGATACATAGGGAAGGTAATGTGGAGTTCTAAAAAAATGGTTTATTCCATTTATTTGTGTATGTGGTAAGGTGCATACATGCTGTTGCATGCTTATAGGGTTCAGAGGACTGTGTGGGTGTTTATTCTCTCTGTTATGTGAGTTCCATTGATCCAACTTAGGTCATCAGACTTGTAGCAAGGGCCTTTCCTGCTGCATCATCTCAGGGCCTTGACAGTGGTGTTTTAGGAGCCACTGGGAGTAGCTACCTTAGAAGAATAAAATATAGAAGACTGTTGATATAACCCAAGTTCAGGGTGAGCCTGGCAAAGGGGGTGCTGGGTTTAAATTCTGTTACGAAGTAAGAATTAGTAAATACAGAAAAGCCCTAACCCTCCACTTGTGAAGACACCCCAGGGTCTGGATCCTCATGCTAGAAAATGAAGACCTAGAAGGAAAGCTGTCAGCAATCAGCAAGACTCAGAGAGTAAATGCAGTGTATCTCCTCCTCGGTCTTAATCATCTGTCTTCAGGCTTCCATAGGACCACACCAACCTTCCAGGATAGAGCAAGGTCACTTCTAAGGATAGGGAGTTCAGGATATTTCATTCATCTACTCAAAAAGTATCAACCATCTGCTCTTTGCTAACTGGTTAATTAACTAAACCACATGCATATTAAAATTTATTCTTACAAGAAGTGAAAAGACTGAAGAAAATTTTGTTTGAGTCAGATGAATGAATTTTATCAGTAAATCTCATGGCAATTCCTAATGCCTAGCTCATACATGTTTTTTCACTCTGCGCACTGCCATTGCTGGTCTCTGAATGTCTTGGCACACAGTGGCCTTTGCTGCATTTTTGCTATATGGATGAATGCATAAAGCACAGTTTTTAGTTATCTTCCTCGATGCTCTGCCATGCCATCCTGCCTTACCGTGGTGGTCTAGTGGTGTATACATAATGTTAAAACATGATTATTCTCTTTGAGCCATAGAAAAATTCTAGGGATTTTGGAAAAAGTTAACTTATAAGTTTAAGAATATATAACTTTATAATCTCATCTTATAGTTGGACTCCATAGGTCTAAACCAGATGCCCTGGTTCACATCCATAACAGAGTTTATGGATGGCAGCATGGACGATGCAAAGAAGGAAGATGAGTCGGATAAAAAAATTCTGTCTGCTGTCATCAACAAAACAGTTGTTCCTCACCTTACAGGTAATCTTGATTCTGTCATAATCATAAATATACTTTTAGAAGTTTGGAGACACAAGGAAATGCTGTATGCAGTAAAGAGCAATTGATTTCATATGTAATTAGCCTGGTTGGGAAATGCTTATTTGTACAAACGTTGCCCACATTAGTAGTGGTGGCACACGAAGTCATTTGTCACTATTTGTCAAGAGCAGCACACTGTCATATGTGTTACATACATTTCTTTCCCTTTTCTTACATTTCTTTTCCATTTCCTGTTACATTTCATGTGTGCCTGCCATTAGCAGCTAGTGATGCCTTTACTTCTGTCCTTAAAGGCTTCTTTTACTAAAACAGTATTTGACCAGAATCTTTTTATTGTATTCCAGAGAATGAGTTTTGAACTTGGTTACACTTTGAAGATTATTATTCATTCTGAACAGTGGTTTACCTTTTTAAATCCAAAGTTTTTAATCCTAACTCTATAAACAGAGGCGAAGCTTTTCTTTTGTCCCAACCGCCTGGTCTCAAATAATCACACAACAGCATATATTAATTCCAGAACATTTGGCCTGTAGCTCAGGCTTATTACTACCTCTTAGAGCTTAAATTAACCCATTTTTATTCATCTACATTTTGCCACATGGCTTTGTGGCTTTACCTGTTGTCTAGTACTTCTTATTTCCCCGGTAGCTGTCTCCCATCTCTCTGTCTCTGACCTTCCTCCTGTTTCTGTCAGAACGCTGCTGTTTGAGCCCACCATCCCGTAATAAGATAAATACAGCCCAGACCTTCTAGTGGTTGATTCTGTGTGTTCTGAAGACAGCACTTGCACTGTGGGGCAGGGGAGCAGGAGAATATTAAGAAAGGTTCCATGGTTTTGACTCAGTTGGGAATCTGAAGGAGGCAGCTTAGAGTAGAAGTGATCAGCAGCACTCTGGTAGGCTGTGTTGCTTTGGGTGCCTGTCTCTGCGTGGAGTATCAGATAGGTTGCTGAGAATAGCAGTCAGGAGTTCAGGCAGGAGGTGGCTGTGTTTTGATGACACTTAATCTCACGAAGTGACATGAAATAATAAGGAAGTGAGTGCAAGAAGGAGCAAGAAGGAAACAAATTGAGTCCTCATAGAGGTGACAAGTACCCTGCCAAGACCAGAGAGAAGACCAGGAGGATAGTGTCTCAAAATCCATGCAGAGTATTTCCAGGAAGAAAGATGGGGCCCAGTTTTGTTTGCTGACAGTAGCCACAGAAGAATTAGAATCAATCTTTGGAGCTGGCTATACAGGTGTCCTGTTTAACTTGAGAGATGCACTCACCCCTCTGTGGAGAGTTCTGAGGCCTGATTGAGAGGATTCCAGAAAGACAAATACAAAGTAGACATCTAGATGGGACTTTGAGCAATTTTGTTTTAAAAGCAGAGACAATGGTGGATAGCACTGAAGAGGGTATTAGGGATGATTGGAATTGGGGAGATAATGTAGTGTTTAAAACTCTTGTACTCAGTCATGAGGACCAGAGTTCAGATCCCCAGAACCCACATAAAAACCTGGTAGGAAGGCATGTTGGCTGGCATGTAATCCCAAGTGCTTATAACAGGGAGACAGAGGATCCTAATAGCAAGCTGGGTAGCCAGAATAGCAACCATCAGCATGAAGCCTCTCTCTCTGTCTCTCTGTCTCTGTCTCTCTCTCTGTCTCTCTCTGTCTCTGTCTCTCTCTCTCTCTCTCTCTCTCTCACACACACACACACACACACACACACACACACAATCAAGTATTCACACAAACGTGCATCCATACTCATGAGGATAGCGAGAAGAAGGAAGTAGAGATCCTTCAACTGAAGTGAGAACCAGGAGAATCAACCAGGCAAGTGAGCAAGCCAGGGCAAGCAATTCCTGGCTGACACTGAGGCTCACTTGAATTTTGGAAGATCAGTTTGGTATACCTTTCTTTAAAACTACATTACATCTGCAGATTGCAGGCACAGTTAGTGAGAAGTGAGTTTATCTAGGGTTATAGATTAACCTGAAGTGTGTAGCAAAACCCAAGGACAAAGAAATTAGAGTGTATGCAAAGAGGAAGTAGTAATGATTAGAAATTGAGAGTATGTGCAGATCAGAAATGTTGTGATTGGCCATGGATTTTTAACCTCAGTAAAAAGTGGAACAGGTAGGCTAAAGATGAGAAGCATGATCTACTAACTTGTGTAACCACTGACATGTGTTTCAGATTTTGTAGAGTTCATTTGGGATCCCCTGTCAACCTCACAGACAAGAAGTTTAACAGTGCACTGCAGACTGGTGTTTGAACATTCCGCTTCTGAAAATGAAGTTAGTAAAAGCAAACAGGTAATGATTTCTGCCGATTTGGGTTTTAGCTCAATGGTAGATCACTAACCATGGAACCATGAGTTCAATCCCCAATACCAAACAAAATAAAATAATTTATACAAGCTCATATTTTAATATGTGGATATATTACCTAGAAAGTGATATCTCTTTTTAAGCCAGAATAGAAAGTATTTAAAAGTTGGGGTAAAATAAAATTTGCATTTTGTTTTTGTTGTTATAACTATTGGTACAGGACTCTTAAAGTATGTTACTTATAATTAAGTGGAGAAAGAAATAAAATTTTATTTAGTTCAGTATGCTTTTGTGGAAAAATGCATTTGCTTAAATTGTACATTGTAATTGTAAGGTCTAGAGCAGCTTAATGTGTTCTACATACTGCATCTTTTTATTGGTAGTAAGCCAATTTCAATTTTCAATAAATGGAGTCTTTCTAAAAATGAGAACAGCATGTCACTATAGAAATGTTGCTGATAGGGGTGCACCCACACGCTGAGACAATGGGGATGATCTATCGGGAACTCACCAAGGCCAGGTGGCCTGGGTCTGAAAAAGCATGGGATAAAACCGGACTCGCTGAACATAGCAGACAATGAGGACTACTGAGAACTCAAGAACAATGGCAATGGGTTTTGATCCTACTGCACGTACTGGCTTTGTGGGAGCCTAGGCAGTTTGGATGCTCACCTTACTAGACCTGGATGGAGGTGGGTGGTCCTTGGACTTCCCACAGGGCAGGGAACCCTGATTGCTCTTCAGGCTGATGAGGGAGGGGGACTTGATTGGAGGAGGGAGAGAGAAATGGGAGGCGGTGGCGGGGAGGAGGCAGAAATCTTTAATAAATAAATAAATTTTTTAAAAAAAAGAAAGAAATGTTGCTGATAATAAAATAAACTCCCATCATCTGTTCATCTTAGTAGTAGTAATTAGAGCTGGATATTTTCATTCAGCCTTTATTCTCAGTTATCTTAGTGGATCTGAGTGTTTACATATATAGATGTCAGAGGCTTTAGCTACTTACTATTTCATGCAATAGATGCATATAATATAATGTCCTTTAAGTTGAGTTACTGAATTCAATATTTGTCTCATTTATAATTGTTGGTATACAAACCAAATGAATTATCCAAAGTGGGATTACTGTGTCAGAGGACAGACAAGCCAACAAAGACCCGCATCTACACTTTATGGAAGGCTTGTAGGAATCAGAAGGAAAGAATAGGGCCTGTTGTTTTTTTTTAAAAAAGACAAACAAAAAATAAGACCTTAGGCAGATAGCTTGGAGGTCTTTATGGGAAGCTGCCCCAAACCACACTGCTCTTCAAAGTGAGACTAAAGTACAGTGAACGGGCTGTACTCCCCAGATTTTTTTTAAAAAAAGAAAAGAAACAGAAAAGGAAAAAAAAAAAACCAAGCAGGGAAACAGTATAGTAAGGATGGAAGGTGTGTAACCCTGACTGGCCTGGAGTCACAGAGATCTGCATATCTTGTGTTAGCATTACAGGCATGTGCCACCAAGCTTGAAAGAAAACGGAATGTCTTAGACACAGCTAGGAGGACTACAGATGGGATTCCACTATTGAGTTTCGTTGTTTTGTTTTTCTCTTTACTGATTAAATTTGTTCTTTGACAGTTTCATGTGTACATAATACACTGTCTACTCTCACCCCAGCTCTCTCATCTCCCTTCTGCCTCTGCCATCCTTTCCTCCCACGGCTCCCTTCCTATGTCTAGATCCTTTTGTTTTGTGACCCTTTGATTCTAAACAGGACTGTGTGTGGCCATGGGTTTGGAACTGTATTGCAGCCTGATAGACTCCAATAACTGTCCCTCCTCCAGAATCCATCAGTAGTTCACCAGGCAGGGATAGCACCCCATGACCTCCCCAGTCCATGATTGGCTCTTGACATCCCAGGCTTACACAGATAGACAGCCACTGCGCTCAGATCTCGTGTTTGCCATGGCTGTGCCATTTCCTGAAGATAGCATTTCGTATCTCTTCTCCCTATCTTCTGCAGCATTTCTTTTGTACTAAAGAGAAGGGTATAATGTCCTATTTGGGGCATTCACCTCCATTTACTGCAAAGACAGCTTTTCTGGTTAAGGATGAGTAGCAGTTGTCTGTGGATAACATAAATATTTAAGCTGCAGTTTGATACCACATCAGTTGGCTAGACCCTAGTGAGGAGGGTGCCCCTAGGCCCTATGATCTTCAGATACTACCATCCTAGTTATCATTGTACAAAGCTGAATACAAGGTCATGAGCTATATTCCAGCAATTCCATTTTAGTGTATATATTCTGTATACATTAAGAGACTTCTGCTAGGTATTTTATAGCAACATTAAGCATAATGTACCCCCTAATAGGAAACCATCGAGTGTCTAATACTAGTTTGTGCGTGAAAGTGATTCACCGACAACCACATGCATCTTCCAAGTTCCTACAGTGTTGTAACAGTGTTGTGCCTGCAGAACAATTCACACCATTAAAATTTCCTGATTTGGTTACTATATTTCCAATTATGGCTTGCTGATGCTTTCCAAATTTTTAAATAGGATTTACTTAAATCTGTTGCTGAAAGAATTAAGAAGTCAATAGAAGATGATGTTTTTATTCCTCTATATCCTAAGAGGTAAGAGCTCTTAATTTTTATACTGTTGGAAATAGCTTTTCTTTGAGGAGGAATAGGGTCCTGTAAGACACAGCCAGATATAGCTCAGGCTGTTCCTGAACTTTCTACAAAGTTGAGAATAATGTTGAATTCCTCAACATTATGTGTGTGCTCCTGCCCTCACCTCCCAAATGCTGGAATTAGAGGCATGTGCCATCCTATCTAGCCCTTAGAGAATACAAATTTGTAGGATGTAATGCAAAAATCACTTTAGTCTTTTCTAGAGCTAAAACACTTACTTACTGTTCTAAGATGCAAACCGAGATTTTAGCAAGTATTTCTCTAAATCATGTGCCCCACATATGTATGATATTTAACATTTGGACACTGTGTATTTGAGTGTTTCCTGTGTTTAAATTTACCCTAGAATCAGGAGGTTGTAACCTAGAGAAGTAAAGAACAACATGCTTAGCTCCACCATTCTGGGTTGTTTGACCTTGGGTCCTTGCTGTCATTATCATCAGTACAAGGCGGGAGAAATCAATAGCTACCCCCACAGGACAGCAGGATGATGAAGACACTGTTCAGAACAGAGCAGTGCCGTGTACAGAGGATGCATAGCACAGCCTCTGTACATCTGTTCATCTTAGGAAACATGGGGCTTGATTTATGGTCATATACTTGCCAAGAAAACCTTCTTGGTAGTGATGATTTGTGAACTCTAGCTACCCAATGATACTCCCACGATGGAAGTTAGGAGGGGGAAACTTGGTGATCCTGGTTTATCTGAGTCAGGAAGAGATATCTGCAAATAAAAATTATGCCCCAGTAAGTTTTGGTTTTGTTCTGTTTTAGGTAACTAATATAGTCACATAGTTCAAATTATGCTTGTGGTTTATTCATATTTAAGGCAATTGCTTGAATCTTTTGGCTAAAATCAAGTATATCTTTAAAATGAGAAGGTGTTTTGTTTTTAAGATTTATATATTGTGAACATTTGCCTGTGTATATATGTGTATATGTGTGTTTAGTTGCCAGAAGAGGTCAAAAGAGCATTGGATCCCCTGGAGCTGCAATTACAGTCAGTTGTGAACCACACAACTGTGGGTGCTAGAAACTGACCCCGGTCCTCTGCAGGAACAGCAAGTGCTCTTAACTGCTGGACTATTTCTCCAGTTCCCTAAAATGAGATATACTTACTTTTACTCTGACTTTTGACTGCAGATTTTTGCCATTTATCTTATATATGCTATAACTTTATTTCCCCCTCATTCTATATGAGATGAAGTATATTATAAGCAGGTACAAGCAGTTTTGTTCCTTTCTCAGTGCACAGTAGGCATGTAGGTTTTCTATAACTGACCAGCATGTGAGTGATAATCTTACCAACAGCGAGGTTATAAACAAACGGGCAGATACATGGTTCTGTGCTCGGGCAGTTATATCTACAAGACACACTTGCAGAAATTCATTGTTGGTTGAGTGTGGATGCATTTATAATTCTTGGTAGATACCACCAGAGTGCCCTGATTAATTTTTCATTTAAGTTGTTTAGTTAAAAATAAACAAAAAGGGACCAGAGAGATCACTTGGTAGTTAAGAGTATAATGCTCTTTCAGAGCTGACTGGAGTTTGATTCCCAGCATCCAGGTTGGGCAGCTTACAACTGCCTGTAACTCCAGCTCTAGGGACTCCAGTGGCCTCTTCTAGCCTCTGCAGGCAATGCATTCCTGTGCACAAACTATACACAGAATTCAAAACACAACAAACAACAAAAAGTTGTTGTAATAGGGAGCTGCGGGCTGTGTTCCCAACACCCCGGCCGCCTGGCTAGCTTATACCCCGAAATAATTACACGGAAACTGTATTCTTTTAAACACCGCTTGGCCCATTATATCTAGCCTTTTCTCGGCTAACTCTCGCACCTGGACTAGCCCATTTCTAATAATCTGTGTAGCCCACGAGCTGGCTTACCAGGAATGATCTTAACATGCGTCTGCCTGGAGTGGGAGAATCATGGCGACTCACTGACTCAGCTTCTTTCTCCCAACCTTCTGTTCTGTTTACTCCTTTCACCTATGTTTCAAACTGTCAGGGCCAAGCAGTTTCTTTATTGCTCAACCAATGAAATCAACAGATTGATATATGACACTCCCACATCAAAAAGTTCTATTTTTTTTTTTGCGGTTTTATTCTGAAAGAATAATAGTCCTTTATATCTTCTCTTTTTCCTTTCCTTCCCCCTCCTCCTCATTTGTTTCAAATTAGTTCTGAAGAAGGAAAGATGTCACCACATTCAAAGTTTCAAGAAAGGCAGTTCTGGGGGGCTCTAAAGGTAAGCAGAGTACTGTCTTTAAAATATATCTCTGTTATACATATGTGTTGAAGTCCACTCTGCCACTACAGTACAAAAGCACTAATAGTTTTGAGACATAGTCTCACTATATAGTCCTGGCTCTCCTGGTCTTTGCTATGGAGATCAGGCTGCCTTGTCGTAGGCCTTCCTGTCTCTGCCTCCTGTGTACTGGAATTAAAGGCATGTGCTACCATGCCCAGCCTTATTCTGATTTACTTTTTAATATTTCTAAAGGTCCTTTAAAAATGTGAAAGCAGTTTTTGTCTCATGGACCCTACAAAAGAAGCACTGGGTTGAATTTAATCTTAAGCTACCCTTGATTGAAAAGCTAAAGTTAAAGCCACAGTCAAGTTAGTGGAGATCAGTTCCAGTGATGTTTCAAGTGAAGCATCAGAAGGATGCCACAGCTGACATGTGAGGAACATAAGACGTATCACAGCCAAGTGCCTGATGTTGGCACCTGGTGTTATACTATTCTTAACATGTAGGAGATACAGGCTTGGGGGAGACCGAAATCTCCTTTGGATGTAGTAAAAACACACAGAACTGTGGAGACGTCCCTGTTCCAGGGGTTAGGCCACAGCTGAGAATTTGACAGCAGTTATGCATAGGCAGTATTTGGCCATGATTGACAAGTTTTGAAAAGACTAGGATGGGGAATGGAGTGGGGGTGGGGTCTTCAGATGTACCTTATAATGAATTGTGAACCTTTGTGCCTCAAGGAGCTAAAGAATGAAAATGAGTATTAAATGCCATGATAAAGAACTAGGGGGTAATAAATGTCCATTGTGTTTGAGAAATTAGAAGGACATGTCCTTAGCAGGAGCAGTTTCAATGCAGAGAGTGAATGTGTGTCCTGGCCAGACCAGGGAAGATGCTTTCCAGGACAGGCAGCGATGACAATGACACTGTGAAGTGTGGCATGTTATTAGCCCAGATGTCATTCAGCACTCAGAATACTAGAAAAAGACACAGATTTCTCACAATTCACAGAAACTTGAATTCAGCCCTCCAAATGCAACATGTATTCATTGAAGATCTTATTATGAGGCACTTAACCTGTTATCAGGAAACTCTTAGGTTGTCTTGTTTTACTGTCAGCTACGAGGTTCTTGGCATTGCCAGGCTTCCTAGAAGCACACGTTAATACCAGCACTAGCCTTGGCATTGCTTTCTGATCCTGGTAAACTGCACTCTTAGACTTAGTGGCCGCAGACAATAAGAAGATAGGTTACAGTGGGGCACTGATCTAGAGGGGCTGCAGTGGAGCTGCATGATGTATATTGGGTTCGGTTACCCTAATAATAGAAGTAGGATGAGCAAATACATGGAGGTGAGGATCAAGTATTTACTTGAGAATGTTCTTTGTTCCAAAGCTGGCATTTACAACAGGGCCAACTAGTGAGAGTTAGGGAGCTGGACCAGTTGTTCATCTACCATTACAGCTTTTAGGGCAGACACATATAATTACTTGGTATTTCTTTTAGCTCTTCCGCAATATTCTTCTTTGGAATGGACTTCTCCCAGATGACACCTTGCAAGATCTAGGACTAGGGAAGCTGCTGAATCGCTGTCTTATTATTGCTCTTACTCATGCCTTCCCTGGACCAGATGCTGTTAAAAAGTGCAGCCAGGTAAGCTATATGGAGTCAATTCTAATTGTGTCATTAATGTCTATAATTTTCAGTGTGGTGACTTATATCTCTAATCCCATCATTAGAGAAACTGAGGTATAAGTATTGCAAGCTCCAGGTCAGCCTGGACTACAAGGTTAGACCGTCCCTCAAAACAGTAACAGCAGAGATTTAAGTAGTAGGATTGGAGAGATGTCTCAGTGGTTAAGACTGCATACTGCTCTTTAGTTTAGTTCATAGTTCCAACATGGGCAGCTCATAACACCTGTAACTTCAGCACTGATGGGGAATCCAGTGCCCTCTTCTGGCCTCTTCAGGAACTTGTACATAAACATATGAAGACATGAATGAATCTTTAAAGATTTAGTTATTGAAATCTATATTGCAACCATATAATTAAATTTTGGAGATTGCACATGAGTAAACAAATCAGTTAACAGCAAAACCCAGCAGCTACTTTCATATTTAAGAATCAGTATTCTGGTTTGAAACAACAGTGGTGGAAGAAATTAATGATGCCAGGAGCCAAGTACGGTTTGTACACTCCGTATCTCAGTACTTCAGGGGCTCAGACAGGAAGATCGTGAGTTCAAGACAAACTAAGACAGAAGGGAGGCAGGGAGAAAAGGAAGAAGGAAAATTAAAAAGAGTTAAAGAACTAGGTTAGAAATTAGGAAAGCAGCTATAATGCATAAGATTAAACTCTACATCAAATTCAAAAAGTCTGGAAGTGGCCCCAAAATATACATGTCAAATCACCACATATGGGTATGGAAAACAACCTGCAAACAATGTAGCAAAGAGTGAGAGCACCACCAGAACTGCTAGTCAGTGTACTGCAAAGATGCTTGTATAGCCAGCAGTGCAGAACAGTGGGGCTTTGCTGTTACTATTTCACTAAAATCCCAGTTGTGATGTAAGCCTGGGCTGCTACCATTCTTGGGCTGTAGAAGCCTTGTGGCCTGTAGTGTCCAGCGTACTAGTTCTGTAAAACGGATTCCACTGTCAAGAGAACACAGCTCTTCAGGGCAATGTTGAAAGCTTTAAACATTGACTTCTAAGAATTTATGCTAGGACAAAATCAGAGTTGAACATATAGATTTTAAGTACAAAGAACATTATAGCATTATTTACTGAAGGTAGCCCAAACTACCTGCATCAGTTACTTTTGTGTTGTTGTGATAAAACACCATGACCAAAGGAGACTTAAAGAAGAGCGCGTGTGTTTGGGCTGTAGTTTCAGAGGGAGAGTCTGTAATGGAGGGGAAGGCCTGACAGCAAAATGCTGAGATCATATTTTCGGCCCCACCAGTGACAGACTTCTTCCAGTAAGGCTCCACGCCCCCCCCCCCTACACACACACAGGTTCTCTAACCTCCCCAAGCAGCACTATGAACTGGGGGACCAAGTGTTCAAATTTTCAAATATATGGACCTAGGGAGGCTGTTTTTATTCAAAACACTACAATGCTCAAATGTCTCCAAAACATTTGATCTGCCCGTAAGGTAAACGTCATGGTATTAAATGGTGCTTAGGAAGCCAGGCTTGGTAGCACAACCATAATCCCATCCTTATAGTTCTTAAATTTAAATCATTCTCTGTGTGGAATGTTCTCAAGTTGACTGCAAAGTCATCTCAAAAGTAGTGAAGGAGAAGTGTGTTTACACAACTTCTACAGCAGGTTTGAGAAGCAGGCCACAGGTCAACAGAATGGTCTCACCTCATACATGGACAGGCTTGCTGGCTCCATGAGAACTTCCAGACACATGTAATATAGCAAAGCACCGGAAAGCACATACAAATGACAGTTCCATTCTAGTGAAGACAGGTTCCAAAACTTTTAAAGACAGGTAGTTTGACAAGCAGCTCTTCCATGTCTCTGTCTTTTGCAGTCCCACATCTGTAGTAATAGGAGCGGGGGGGGGCTGCATCCCCAGCACCCCAGCCGCCTGCTAGCTTCTGCCCCGAAATAACAACACACAAACTATATTCATTTAAACACTGCTTGGCCCATTATATCTAGCCTCTTCTAGGCTAATTCTCACATATTAATTTAGCCCATTTCTAATCATCTGTGTAGCGCCCCTAGGTGCGCTTACCAGGAAGATTCTAGCCTACGTCCATCCTGGGTCGGAGCTTCATCGCGTGCGTCTGGCCTGGCGAGGGGAGCATGGTGTCTCTGCTCCAGAGAGCAGAGCTGTCAGTCTGAGCTCACTTCCTCTTCCTCCCAGCATTCTGTTCTGTTTACTCCTCCCACCTATGTTTTAACCTATGAGGGCCAGCCAAGCAGTTTCTTTATTGCTTAACCAATGAAATCAACAGATTGATATATGACACTCCCACATCATACATCTGCATTTTTTCTCAATAATTAATAATACAGTCCTTTTTTTTCTAGCCTTTACTTTATATTGCGTTTGTTGATGCTGCTGCTGCTAAGTCTGGACTTGAGGCCTCAGATGCTTTAAACACCTACTCTGCCACCTACACATTCAGCAACACCCAGTCCTGTCATTGTTTTGAGACAGGATCTGTCTGCTACCAAGGCTGGCTGGCTTTGGACTCAAATCCGTTTCTGCCTTGGGCCTCTCAGATGCTAGAATTACAGATGCCTACCACCATTTTCACCATTTTTTACAACTGTTTTAAGGCTGGCACCAGCTCTCTTTTATAAGATACTTTCCAGAATCTGTATTCCATTACAGAGGTGCTTTTGCTTTTTCTCCAGATCCTGGTCTTGATGGTACCAGTGACAGCATGGCCTGCTCGACTATCCAGAATTGTTATTTTTGGAAAAGGCTTTTTTTTTTTTTTTGCTTGTTTGTTTTGTCTCATGTGCACTACAGTGATCTCTTTGGCCTCTATGGACATAGAAGGCGCACTGGTATAGGACGAATTGTCATTCCTTTCCTTCCATTTAACATTTACAATCACCTGTTGATTTCTTCTCTTGAATGTTTGTGTATGTGGAATTATAAGCATTGCTAAACAGTGCACAGAGCAGATTCCATCTGCTTTAAGCTTTTAGCAATGAAGAATTTTTTTTTAATCAAGTGACTTTTTTTCCATTTCAGTCATCTTGTATATATGGATGTTTTGCCTGCTTATATATTTGTACTGTGTGATTGCAGTACCTGAGGTCAGAAGGGGACATCAAATCTCTTGGAACTGGAGTTACAGATGGTTGGGAGCTATCATGTGGGCTACAGGAATCAAACTTGGGTCCTCTGGAAGAACAGCCAGTGCTGCTACCCACTGAGCTCTCTCTCAAGCTATATCACCTTTGACACAGGAAAGGGAAATCTCAAACTTTCTTTGCTCTTGTGCTTTAAGCCTGCCATGTGTCTTGACAGATAGCAGCCTGTCTACCAGAGAAATGGTTTGAGAACTCTGCTATGAGGACATCAATTCCCCAACTAGAAAACTTCATTCAGTTTTTGTTGCGGTCTGCACGTAAATTATCCACAAGTGAATTCAGGTAATGTTCATTTAATCTTTCACCTCCAAAGCATAGTTCAAGGATTTTGAATGCTTTCAGCAATTTTAAGGAAGATTTGTACTTTTACTATGATTTTTAACATCTGGATTTACAGATGTAACTAGTCTGGCATAGTATTTGCCTAACAGCACAAAGCCCTGGGTTCAATACAAGAACTCATAAACCAGGCATTGTAGCACATGCCTAGAATCCTTCTGTAGTATTGATGAAGTCTTGGTGTGACTGCTCCAGCAACTGGCAGTATCCTGGCTGTAGAAGCTAACAGCACTGCACTGTGGAGACTCTGATTAGCTGGCTTGCTTGTTTTCTGCTTTTTATTGCCAGTCACATTCAAATTTTCCAGGATACTCTATTTGGGCTTTGCAATTACAATCATGAGGTGTATGAAGCTGGGGCCAGTCTAAGAAATCCATCATTGGGCTGTTTTGTCTGTGCTGGTACTACAGTATGCTCATTGCTCATGCAAATAGATATGATACAGGCCGCCACCGACATGCTGTAATGCACACGTGTCTATGTGGCGAATACAAAAATGATGCGTGTAGTCAGCGTCGAGTATGGTGTAATATGCACAGCTGTATGTGCTGTGCTTTTATGGAGCTATGAGCACATGTTTGTTCACGCCAGCAGCACAGCATGTAACATGTTTCTGTGTGGCATGATAGTGTCACTGTGCCTTAGGATTAACCAGCACTTCACCCAGTGATGTAACAGACTTTAGATATTGACTTAGGTGGAGCTCCTGTTTCAGGTACTGATAGTACTGAGTCCACTGTGACTCCCTTCACGTTACAGCACTTTTTCTTCTAAATTCATCTCTTTGATCATTTTATTTCATCTTACGTTTTGTCCTAAGGATCAAGCTTAGGGCCCACTGCACTAAAGACTTTCTACCACTCATACACCTGTAGGCTCTACTGCATTAGCAGGGAGTCAACACTTTTTGGTTTTGCTTTTCAGGAATGAAGTCAATGAAATAATTCTCATCCTGATGAAGGTAAAAGCTTTGAGTCAAGCCGAATCCCTTATAGAGGAATATCACCTGGAACCCCCCACACCCCCAGTTACAGGCGTTTGAGTGCACTGTGGGAGGTGAGAGTCATTGATGAGAGTGCTCAGTTCCACTCCTGTGCACAGTGCCTCTTCATCCTCTGCCCGCCGCAGTGTCCTGGAGGCCGTCCTTCCTGGCGCTGTGTGACCAAGGGCGCTACCTGCACAGCAGCAGCTGTTCTTCCTCAGGCTGAGGAGTTGGAAGAAATCGGGTACACAGAAGCATGTCCAGAGTTAAACCCATTGTCAGCTTTGGCATCCCTTTTTTTGGGGGGTGGGGGGGTGGGGTTCGAGACAGGGTTTCTCTGTTGCTTTGAAACCTGTCCTGGAACTAGCTCTTGTAGACCAGGCTGGCCCTGAAATCACAGAGATCCACCTGCCTTTGCCTCCTGAGTGCTGGGATTAAAGGCGTGAGCCACCACAAACTCCCACTGTTTACAAATCAGCTAATGAGGAAATCTTAGGCTGAACTGCTTAATTATGAGATGGTTAACACATTTTTATAACAAATTGTCCTTCCAAAATGTGTACTAGTTGATTGTATGAACTCAGTACTAGTGAGTCTCCAGATTTTTAATTCATTGCTAATTTGTTAGGAAAAAAAATCTTTTTTTAAAAAAGGTTTATTTTTATATGTGTGGTTATGTATACACCTGGGTGACTTTATGTAGACCACTTCCATGCAGAGACCAGAAAAGGCCAGAGGGCATCAGATTCTCTGGAACTAGGGGTCCAGGGGATTGTGGCCCACCTGATATAGTTGCTGGGAGTTAAACCCAGGCCCTCAGGAAGAGATCTTAACCACTAAGTTGTTCCTCCAGCCCCTGTTGAAGAAGGAAGACATATTGGTTTGGGTCATCTGTAATTCTTTGTGAACTATATCCATCTTTTTCTAGAGACATTATACTTCCATATTAAAAATAATATTGATCTTTTGCCTGTCCTCTGGCAAATAATTTATCAGAAAACAACATTTTTCTTTGAATTTTAAGTTTTTTTTTAATGGAGTTATCACTTGGTAGCAAGTTAGGCTTTTTTGTTTTGTTATCATTCACGGTAGAATTAAGAAGGCCACTGCAATTTTAAATACAGAAATGTAAAGTATTTGTCATATTAAGGAAGTCTAAGGCAAGGTAGTTAAGAAATTAGGAATTTTTTGCAAAATCATTTTATTTGTGTTAAGTCTGTTAAGCTACTCAGTGATGACCCTGTGTATAAATTATTGCCCTAAAGGTAGTTGGAAAATGTTGGTTATATTGTAAGATGTGACCCTGGCCCACGTTTACATACTTGGAAGCCCTACTTTCAAGACTGCATGTAATGTGAACAGCTGACATGCTATCGCTGTAGCAGTGAAAGCTTGTGGTTCTCTACGTGCAGATGTTAAAACTGTTATGCAAACTGCACAAACAGAATACCACATAGACAGCCCAAACACTGCTGAATCCTCAGTTCATGTTAATGTCGTTTTAGACAGCTGCTCATTACAAAAGCATGTGTGTATGTATACAGAAAGTTTTGTATATAAATGGCAAAGACTTTATTACATTAAATTTTCCAGGGTTTTGTTGTTGTCATTTTTTTTGAGATAGGGTTTCTCTGTAGCTTTGGAGCCTGTCCTGGAACTAGCTCTGTAGACCAGGCTGGCCTCAAACTCAGAGATCCACCTGCCTCTGCCTCCCAAGTGCTGTGGTCAAAGGCATGCACCACCACTGCCTGGCTTGAATTATCTAGTTTTTTAACTGTTCCAGTGGACTTTTGGAAGCTGTTCTCTGGCTTTGGATTTTTTAGAGATAGATGTGGGTACAGATACTCTCATTGGTCTAACCTGGGCAGACACTCTGGAAACACTGGAATTGAAACATGCTGTGAAGCCAGCCCAGCCATCACTGTGGAATGGATGCACTGGCATAGCAGGGCAGACACTCATCTGGTGATTTGCTCACGGACTCCTAGCCAGCTGGGACTACAGGAGACCCTGACACACCTTTCATTCTTTATCTCAGCTGGTCCAGTTCTATTCTCTCTGGAGACTGGGTCTCATTCTGAGGTGTTAGTGACACTGATCTTGGGACCCTTCTGCCTCCCAAGACCTCGGATTGCAGGCCGTGTCACCACACCTGGCAAGAAAAACTGTAAAAGGGCCTAACTGGGGAGAGAGAGACCATGTTCATGAATTAGAAAACTAACTTGGGGTAGATTTTATTCTCCTTACACTGACTCATAAATGTAATGTCAGCACTGAAACAGGTAAGGGAAATAAACATGCAGGTGCACAACCTAGGGCTGGTACTCGACAGAGAATCCCCAGACCAGTACTGACAGAACCAGCTGAGTAAGCCTTAGTTCCACCTCATTTTTCTACCCACCCACAACACACAAACAGACAAGTCACAGATCTAACTGGAAACTCTAAAACAGAGACTCGGGAAAATCAGAGATGTGACTCAGGCAGAGACTGGAGAAGCTCAGCAGAGTTCGGTTCCCAGCACCCATAGTCACTTAAGGAAGGAAGAGGTACTGGGTATCTAAACTCCAAATAACAGTTCCAGAAAGATGAGAGAAAAGCAACAACTGCCAAGTTTCCCAGAACATGAGTCACTGCATTGAAAGGTTAACCCCAAAATGTGGATACAAATATACCAGCACCAAGGCACAATGCTATCATGTCATTACCATGAAGACTTAAAACTACACACTTTGAAGTCATAAGGAGCAGAAGCCAGAATGACTGTTTCTCAACATGGCACTCAAGCGCTAATACCAGAATTGTAACGAGGAAACAGAAAGCAGATTGACAGTACAGGTCAGATCATCACTTTCAGGAGTAAAATGGCCACATGAGGGAAAGGACTCAAGAACACGAGAGGCACACCATGTATGCCATGGAGGTCAGTGCACAACTTCTCTGAAGGTAGTAAAGTTCCGCTCCATCTACAGGAGATAGCCATGAAGACGAAACAAGGACTGCATAAAGTGCTCACCAGAAAAGCCACCCCGAGATGAGAGGCTCCAGAGGGCAGGTCTGGGCACTGACTCACTGATGGAGACACCAAGATCCAGGCTAGCTCTTGTGATGTTACAGGTGGGCTAGCCTTTACTCTGATGCATTCCAGCTTCCCAACCCATGATGGATTACCAAGTACACTCCTGTCCCCACAGTTTTAACCCCCTAGGGCTTGACTCATGCAGAAAGTAAGAAAAATACACTCTGACCAACTTCCTGCTGGACACTCACTACCCAGTCCACACTGTGGCCTCCCAGGTGCTTGGGGTGTCTTCTGTTGAGCAGAATTGACTTACACTTGACCTACAGAATTCTCACAAGTGGTTTCTATAAACTCTGAGGGGGAAATGAATCCAGATGACAACTCAGACTGCACCTTCTCCTTGAAACTTCCGCAGGAAAACAGCCCCCTTTTCTACCTGCTAATGAGCCTGTCAACAAGGCATTTAATATTCTGTGTAGGGCTGGAGAGATGGCTAGTGACTGAGAGTTCAGTTTGCCAGCACCCATGTCAGGTGGGTCATAGCAGCTGCAACTCCAGTTCCTGAGAATCTTATTCCTTCTGGTCTCTAGACACCCATGTACATACAATACAGACTGGAGTGCTGGGAACTGAACTCCGGTCCTCTGCAAGAGCAAGTGCTCTTACCGATCCACCTCTACAGCACCTACTACACTTAACTCCCATACTGTTGTGTCTTTATGATTATTTCCCAATTTACTCCCCTTGCTCACATCCCAGTACGTCTCATTTTGGTGACGCTGACTCCCTGGCTCCAGAAAGGGAAGGAATGTTGGGTGATTTCTCATTGTGGCGCCATAAACTGATGTACAGACTTTATGCTAGGTACTGATAAGGTGAGGAGTGCTCTTTCATTTAATAGCTAAGTTCTTACAAAGCACACAATGGCTTTCAAACCAAATCCTGAGCTAATACACCTGCAATTAACTAAAGGCATCCTCAGAACAAGAGCTTAAAAGAAAAATATATTTTTACATGTGTATACAAGTTGGGTCCACACATGCCAGGGTGTGCATGTAGAAGACAAAGGGCAACTTTCAGAAATCAGTTCTCTCCTTCCACCCCAGGCTCCATAACTGAACTCAGGTCATCAGGCCTGAGCAGCCACCTCACCATTCCCAAGATCAAGACTTCTTTGATGCTTCTATTTCTTCCCATAATGCAGCTTCGATTTTTGAAGTGTCATATTCTCTCATCATATCAAACTCAAGCCATGGCTGGCTCCACTTCTGGGCTTCTTTCATTTGCTCCTCAGTTAAAGCAAGATCAAATCTGATCCCTTTAATGTTGAAGTATGGACGTTCCCAGCGTTTGGACCACGGCTTTGGCTTCATTTTAACTTGGAGCTAAGGAAAACAAAAATAGAATTTGGGCTGGGGAGATGCACACAAAAGTCTCCCTGAGTTTTCTGCAGGGTGCTTCTTCAAACTGGCACCTAAGCACAGGTGCACGGTCCTACCTTGTTAACAGGCACTTCCTGGCAGGACTCGTGTGGGACTGGCTTCATGTTAACATCAAAGGTGCTGAACTCGGGGAGGGCGTCCCGTAAATACAGCAGGCTGTCGTCCAGCCGCTTCTCCAACTTCACCACCTGGATCTCGTGGATTCGAGGATTATACAATTCAAAGCAAAGCTCCACACCTAAAAAAGGAACATGCTTACCACCTAAGTCCAGACTCCTGCAATACTTCATAGTACAGTCATGTACTTTGAAGCTAGCAAGTGGGACATGGAACGAACACATAAAATTTCTAAACTGGAGATTACTAAAGCAAAACAAACCAAATCCCATTTAAATGAAAAAGTGAAAATTGAATGATGTCGTTTAAGTCTCAGATTGGCCTACAGGTACGCCGGCGGATCACTGTCTTCATGGCCAGCTAGTCCCCCATGGGAGCTACCATCTCTGGACAGGTGGTCCTAGGCTGGATGAAGAGTTGGGGAACCATGAGCTTAGAAGTGGTCCAGCGAATGGCATTCTTCTATGGTTCTGTCTCAGTTCCACTGGAGGCTGTGACCTGAACGTGTAAGCTGAAATAAACTCTCTTCCCCTAAGTATCTTTTGGACAGGAGTGTATTAAGGGAGCAACAGAGGCTAAACTAGAACACTAGGCAGGGCCCTCAACTTGGTGAACAAGACACTGCTTTGAGTGTGACCCCTCCAACACTCACCCTGAAGGGCTCCTCTCGCAGTGGCGGTTCTCTGACAACTTCACGCCTGAGAACCCTGAGGTGCACTGGGAAGAGTAAACACCCTCGCTTGCCATT